CGGCCGCCGGAAGCCGCGCGCCCCTCCCCCTCCGCGGAGGCCCCGCCCCCTGGCCTCACGTGACCGCCGCGCGCCGGCCCTCGGCACGTGACCTCCGCGTCTTTCCCGCCCCCTGGCTCTCGCCTGTCACCCTCCACATGTGACCCACGGCTTCTCGCCTCTTTGAGCGCCTCATTGCGTGGACGTGCGTCCTGCGTGTCTGTGCGCCACGGCCAGGGCCGGCGCTCCCCTGTCACGTGACCCGGCGCCGCGTTCTCCCAGGGGCTCCCTGTGTGGGACTCTAGTTTCCTGCTCGCGCTCTCTAGCCCCGCCCCCGAGCGCGGCCAGTCTGTGGCGCCCGGTACTCTTGGAGGATGTCCGGTGGCCGCTGACAGTTGACCCTCAGTCGCCGAGTGAGAAGCCGCCTGGACCCTCCCTGCGGTGCTGCCGACCCGGTGCGTTACCTTGATAAAACTACCTTCCTGCCGAGCCTCAGTTTGTCCATCTGTACAATGGTTCTGCGCAAGAGGACAATGCCAGTTTCGCCTGATGCCAAGAGCTTGATGCGAGGAGACTGAAGTGTGGTCGCTGTTCCGTTATGTCTGAGGGGTAGTTAATAACCTTTGAAGCTCTTCGGACCCCACGAGTCTGGACAGTTGGAAGAATGGCAGGGCTTCCCTACAGTCTTAGAAGGAGTGCATCACGTGCCCAAACTCAGTCTACCTGTAGGGTTCGAAGAGACACTTAGGCCGACCCTGAGTTCCTGCCAAGAGCTAGCACCTCCAGGCTGATGCTGGCAGCTGGAAATTGGCGGCAGTACCTCTACGATCTCACTAGGTGGCAGTATCACAAAGGACAAAGCTGGCGGAGGCTCCTGAAACCCAGCGCTGTGAAGGGCAGGTGGTCACCTGGTAAGGCCTGGTGCGATCCGCTGGGCCAGTTCAGCCGTCAGCCACTGGCCCTATTGCCCTCTCGTCTCCCACCCGGACCTTAGTTGGAAGCTGACTGTACCTTGGTGCTGGATACTAGGCTACTCACTGATTCAGGGATGTTTGCAGAAGACTTTCATTGCCCAAGCTCAACTCGGGATATTTTAAGAGATGTGTGTTCCTAGTCCCATAGGGGGCTGGTTTTCATGTGTGGGCCTGTGCCCACAAGCTGATAGCATGAAAGACTAGGATAAACCCAGTGGGGCAAGCTTGTAGCCCCAGTTGTTCTGGAGCTCTGAGGCAGGAAGTCACAAATTCAAGGCCTGCAGGTTAACTAAGAAAGGTTGGGGATGTAGGGGTAGAGTGCTTGCCTAACAAACCCCAGGGTCTGACACCCCCCCATCACCACACACACACAAAAGTTAAGGTAAGATTTCTAATTGATAAGTAATTTCCTGAGCCAGGAATATTTTGCAAATATTACCAAACCTCCCAACAACGTTGCAAGGTAAGTGCTTTTAGTCCTTATTTTATAAATGGAGGACAAGAGTGACTTTGTGAGGCTCTCCAGCTACAAAGCAGAACTAGCTCTGCCTCCAGAGGCCATGCCCTCTGCTCTCAACCCTTTGTTTTTGTTTCATTTGTATGAGCAGTCTGCCTGCATGTATATAGGCGCACCATGTGCATACAGTGCACACAAGGCCAGAGGAGGGGGTTAGATCCCCTAGAATCCGAGTTGTGGACAGTTAGCAGCCATGTGGGTGCTGAGAACTGAACCCAGGTCCTCTGCAAGAGCAGCCAGTGCTCTTAACTGCTGAGCCGTCTCTCCAGCCCCTCTTTTCTTTTTTTAGAAAAGATTTATTTGTATTTTATGTATACAGAGTGTTTTGCCTGCGTGTATGTATGTGCACTGCATGCATGTAATGCCTACAGAGGCCAGAAGGCACCAGATCCTCTGGAGCTGAAGTTATGGATGGTTGTGAGTCAACATGTGGGTGCTGGGAATTGAACCTGGGTCCTCTACAAGAGCAGCCAGTGCTTTTAACTGTTTAGCCATCTCTCCAGCCCTTCCCTCTTTTCCTTTTGTTGTTGTGATCCTCCTGCTTCAGCCTCCGAAACGCTGGGATTGCAGGCACGTACCACCACAACCAGCTCTTTCATTATGCCTTCCCCTTATGCTGCTAGAGCTTTTCACAGGTCACTTGACCCTAGCCTTACCCAAGAAACTGGACCGTGAGATCCTCTTGCCTTAGCCTTCCGAGTACTGCGACTACATGTGTATGCACCATTCCTGACTTGAATTCCGTGTTTATGTTTTAAATGTGTGTATTTGATCTACAGGAGATTGAACCAGGTTCTCACCCATGCTATATTAGTGCTCTGTGATTGAGCTACATCCCATAAGGGGTTTATTTAGAAGAAAACATAACGAGACAGTCTCACAGTGTAGCATAGACTCTCTGAAACTACACTCAGCCCTCCTTTCTCTAGGGGAGCCCAGAAGTCGTGGTCACTGGAGTCTGAATGGTCTTCTTTTTTCAATTATTATTTTTATTTTTGTATGAGTGTATTGCCTGGTGTGTAAGTGCACCCATGTCATGCAGTGTAGCAGAGTCAGAGGGCATTGGATTCCCCTGGAACTGGAGTTAGGGATGGTTGTTAGCCTCCATGTGGGTGCTGAGAATCGAACCCAGGTTCTCTGCAAGAGCAGCAGGTACTCTTAACCACTGAGATATCTCTCTAGCCCCTGATCTGACTTCCTTTGCTACTTAAGTTCACATTCTCAGCTGTCTGGCTGGGAGAGCCTCCTGTCACTGATAAAGCTCCTATGAAGTCACATTTAGTAAAATAACTGGGCATCAGTGTGGTATCCAGCTGAACTGGAAAGGAAGTGGTGGATATATTTGTTTAATGCATACTTGGGCAGAAAAGCAGCAGTGACTAAAAAATCCTTGGCCTCATAGAGTTTGAATTCTGTTCAGGAAAGTAGACATGATGGAGCTGGAATCTACAAAGCCAACCAACTCACTGTAGATAATGAACAAATACTTCCCGAGCACTGTGTGTGAGGCACTGAGGAGACTGCATTGAATGAAACAGACTCAATTAGCGTTCAGCATGACAGAAAAATCAAACATTTTGGCAAGTGGGAGATGGCTCAGCCAGTAAAGGTGCTTACTGCACAAGCCTGGTGACCTGAGTGAGTTCTATCCATCATAAAGATGGAAGGAGAGAACAGATTCCATAAAGTTGTCCTCTGACTTTTACATACTGTGTCATGGCCCGTGCCCTCCACAGTAATAATACAAATTTTTAAAAAGAAATCAGACATCTCATGGGTAGTCGCTTAAGCACTTAATTACAATTGTAGTAAGCATCTCAAAGGAGAAAAGGCTATCTGAAAGGCATCTCTGAACAAGTGACACACTGACTTCCGAAAAGTGGAGTGGGTAAAGGGACCGTGGCAAGTTGAAGGGACAGAAGGATTCTGTGTCGAGTGAAGGACAAGTAGGGTAGGCAAAGGCTGGATCTTGGAGCTGTTTAGAATTTGGGTTTATTTTAATACCTAGTAAGATCAGTAGAGCTTTGAGGAGCTGTGGAAGCGATCAACAGTAGCAGCACTGACAGCTCAGCTTTGTGGGGAAGTAGGAGTTGGATTTTGAAGAGGTGGAGTGTCTGAGGGGAGGGAGTGAAGTAAACCATCCCCTGGAGGATCTGCAGTGGGTGGGGAGAAGGGAGAACTGTGGAGAGAAGGGGAGACATAGGCAGTCACTGCTCCTGCAGCCTCCTGAATTGGACCACAGCTAAGAGGGCTGAGGAGTCAGACCAAACTGGCCTTGGATTTGGGCCAGCTATATGACCTTGAGCAATCTAATCTGCAAAAGTCCACTTCCTTGTGTGTAAACTGATCATGACGCTGCTGCACATCGTCATCGTGCCAGTTTAGATGGACTGAGATACACAAAGTGGTTAGCACAGTGATGGGTACCTAGTGCGGTGCATAGTCAATGCTAAATCCGTCTACTGCTGTGATCACTGTTACTTCTAAACAGGGCAGCGGTGCTCACCATCCCACAAACATTCATGGGATGGTTCCATGGTGCAGACATCAGACATCAGGCTACACATAGCTGTGCGGGGTAGGCAACCCAGGCAGGCCTGCTCTTGGAACACTTTTGGTCTATTGCAAAGCACATATTGTGGGCAAATGCTTAAGTAACTTAAGAATTTCGGGCTGGAAGTAGATGCCAGGGGTCCACAGGGCCACATAGAAAAGAATGACCAGGTTACTTTAAAATCAAGCAGTTGGGAATGGTTCCCTGGGGAGGCAGGGATGGAGCTCAGCTCTGAAAAGAGAAGCAGCAGAACTGGGAGGGAGGGAACAGAGACCATTCCAGGTTACTTAGCCTTACTGATCCTCAGTTTCTACACCTATGAATGGAGGCCATTGTGTGAGAACACAGGAACTCAACAGATGTTTTCACAGTAGGGGCTCACATAGGGGTTAGTGAGTGCATGAGGGAGGGACAGCCCATGAGGCCAGTGAAGAAGGCTGAGGCAGGAGTACACAGACCATGGAAAGTTGTTGACTTTGACGCAGAGTGTCATGGGAAAGCTTGGGAGGATTTCAAGCAAGGAGTAGCATGGTCTGAGTTAAGATTTTAGAAGATTGCTCTGGCTGTTCCGCCCTGCTCTGAGGTAAGCTCTGGGGATGATGTCCCATCAGAAGCACCTGGGAGAGGCTTCTCACTCAGCAGCTCCCATTCATGTCTTCATTTCCTGGTACTTCTTGTGAGTACCCCTCAAGGCACATAGTAATGGATGAACTCGATAGTTACACAGTGTGAGAGAGGCTTTGAAGGGTGACTTGAATCAGGATTAACTTGCCCCAGCGGTGATATGAAAGCAGAAGTCTCATAGGTGGACATAGAAGGACATTCTGGAAGACCTGGAGCCCAAAGTGGAAGGAGGTTGGGAATGAAGGCCTAAGCCAGAAAACAAGAGGAGTGACTGAAGAGCAGTGGGGGCCCATCACTCAGGACACTGAGGTAGGAGGATCATGAATTTGAAGCTAGCCTGAGCTACACAATGAGGTCCTGCCTCATAAGACAAAAAAATGGGGATTGGAAGTGTAGGTCAGTGGCAGAGCAGTTGCCTAGCATAGGCAAGGCCCTGGTGGGTACTACGAATAAATGAAAAATAGAATCAAAGAATACTTGCTGGCATGGAGGTAGGCTTGAGAAACAGTAAATGAAAAAAGACCATTACAGAGTGTAGACAGCACAGTTTGTCGTATCTGCAAAATAACAAAATATGTGTATGTGTATATTTGTATACCCAAAATATGAATGTTCGTAGCAGTATTATTTTTTATTTATTATTTTTATTTTATGTATATGAGTGTATTTCTACATATATGTGAGTGTACCCATGTCATGCAACGCCTCGGAGGTCAGAAGAGGGCTTCAGATTCTCCTGGACTGGAGTTAAGGATGGTTCGTAGCCACCATATGGGTGCTGGGAATCGAACCCAGGTCCTCTGCAAGAGGAGTCAGTGCTCTTAACCACTGAGCCATCTCTCCAGCCTATAGCAGTATTATTTTATTTATTTATTTATTTATTTATTTATTTTTTGTCTTTTTGAGACAGGGTCTCCTTGTAGCCCCAGCTGTCCTGGAACTTACTATGTAGACCAGGCTGGCCTTGAACTCACAGAGATCTGCCTGCTTCTGCCTCCCGAGTGCTGGGATTAAAGGCATGTGCCACCACACCCAGCAAAGCAGTATTATTTTAATAATAAATAGGAAACAACTCAAATGTCTTTTCAAGACTGGACTGGATAAATGGTAGTACATTCACACAATGGAATACTCTACAACGATGAAGGGTGAACTACAATGTTCATGATTCTCACTAACAATGTTAATAAAACAGACACAAAAGATTGGTTCTATTTACATAAAGTTCAGCAGGCAAAGCTGACCTGCCTGTGTTTTTTTTTTTCTTTTAGTCATTAAAAACAATTGTGTCGGGGTGTAGTGGTGCATGCCTGTAATCCCAGCTTTTGGGAGGTGGAGGTAAGAGGATCAGGAGTTCAAAGCCAATGTCAACTGTGTAGTGAGTTCAGGACCAGCCTAGGCTGTGTGAAAACCTATTTCAAAAAGAAAATAAACAAATTGTGATAAAATTCACAAAACATAAAACATTTTAAATTGCACTCATTGTATAATCAGCACTCCTGTCTAGTACCAGGTTAAGTTGTGTCTCCTTGTGCATCCCTATGATGTTCCCTTTGGCGGTGGGGGACAATGCCTGGGAGAGGCATCTGGATGTTGGTAATTGTCCCTTTAAACAAAATCTGAGGTGGCTCAGCAGTTAAAAGTTCATACCGCCCTTCCAGAATCCCACGTCACAACCACTTGTAACTTTAGCTTCAGGGGACTCAAAACTTCTGACCTCTGCAGGCACCTGCACTCACATGGGCAAACACACACACTTAAAAATAAATCTTAAAAACCCACAAAATCTGAGTGGGTGTTACGTGTTTATATTGTGGAAATGTATCAAGGTAGTTATAATGAATATACTTTTCTGTATGACTGTTATACCTAAGTACATGTAGATATATTTTTTTCACTGATTGTTTCTTCCTTTGGGAGGTAGGACTATTTTGTTTTGTTAATTTGTGTTTTCCAGTTAGTCTTCATGAATACAGGTATCACTCTAACAAAAATTTAAAATTCAAAGCATCTCAAAAAAAGGAAATATATTACTTTTAATGTACTTTAAGAGAAAATGTTCCTTCTGATCAGAGGAAAGGGGAGTATTACACCAGAACTCTGCTAGTCACTCCTTTGTGTCAGGATTGGCATTTCCTATCTGCCCCATCCTATGTGGTCTTGCATCGGTCCCTGCCTGCCACTTCTCTTCCCTGGGTGGATATAGGAGTGGGTAGAGATGAAGGAGGCAGTTCTACTCTCCTTGGTCACTGTTGGTTATCTCATTGGACTCAGTCCTTGCCAGGCTGGAAGTAAACTTGAAGGCTGGGAATTTGAGAAGATACGATAGAGACCAAGGTGCACAGGCTGCCTGAATTGGCCAAAGTTACCACAGGCTTTAGGCAACTGAGTGAGCCCCAGTTCATCATCCAGAAAGAAACAGGCACTCCACGGAAGATGTGCACAGCCTTCCTCAACCACCCTGCGCCTGCTGGAGCTGCTGTCTCAGGTGCACACCTTTAAGGCAGCTTTGCTGCATCCAATCCTTGACTTTCATCTGTGTCACCTCCAAGCCCTGCGGGGCCCTCCTGCCCCTAGCCTCCTCAGTCCTCATCCTAGAGTGGCCACCACAATGCTGCAGGTGTGGGCGTCTCTTTAATAACTGGAACTAAGTCTTTGATCACTGTTTTCTCAGCCATGACTGGCTCTGGACATACTCAACGCATCTTGATCTAAATTGTTGAAGGCAGATCTCACCCTTGAGCCTTCTTCAAGTGCCTTCTCTCTAGGCTCCTCCACTTCATTTTTTCCCTCAGTCTCCAGATCTCTTTCTGAAGAGGATATTACACACACCCCACACGTGCCCTGGAGCTCACGGTGCAAACTTACACTCATCTCTGTATGCACTATGGACACCCCATTCCTGTCATCTCACTTCCTCTCCCACCCTTTCCTGGAAATTCCCTGCTGCTTTGCTTCAAGGTTGTCTCCATTCCTTTCTTTTCTCATAGTGAGGATTAAATGCAAGACTTTGCACATGCTAGGTAAGCACTCTGCCACTGAGCTATATCACTTCACCCTCCCCCAAACTTGGGCACTTGTTAAATAAGTTGCTTCTAGCTGAGCTTCTAGACAGGAATTTTCTCCTACACTAAAATATGCCTGTTATATACTACCATTTTCCTGTTAAGCCCTTTAATTTTTTAAAATTATTTTTACTTTATATTTGTAAGCCTGAGTGTATCTATGTGCACGAGGTGAGTACACGTGCCCACGGAGGTCAAAAAAGGGTGTTGGATCCCTTGGAACTGGAGTTACAGGTGATTGTGACCACCCTGTGTGGGTGCTGGAAACTAAACTGGGGTTCTCTGCAAGAGCAGTAAATGCTCTTAACTGCTGAGCCATCTCTTCAGCCCCTAAGTCAGGCACAGCACTAGTTCATAATCTAGTTGGAGAGGCACCTGCTGCTGTAGAAAGATTTCATTGAACATTCTGTAGAAAGGTCTAACATGCACCTTACTCGACCTTAAGCAGGCACAGCTTCCCTGAGGAACTGAAATTCCTGCCAAGTACTCCAGTTTAAGTAGAAGGTAGTTAGGAGAAAAGGGATGATAAAAAAGTCAGAGGCAACTACATGTGTAAAAGTCCAGAGAATCGGAGAGATTAAATATTCAAGGACCGTAAAGACATTGCCAATAGCTGAAGCGAGGCCCGGAGGGTAGGGTGTGCTGGATGGGGTTAGAGAAGCAGGTGGTAATGAACGGAGACAGAGCTTTGCTGTACGGGAAGCCTGCTTTAGACAGGAATCTTTTGGTTGAAAGTGACAACAGACCCACTTAAGAAAAAAGAGGTCCTTTATGGGCTCAGCAGCTAAAGTTCAGGGCTTTCAAGATCAAAGATGTCATTGAGTTTTGACACCTCTCATCTGTGCTCTCCTTTGTGTTAGCTTCATTCTTTCTCTGTGAAATGGTCCCCTGATCTCCCCAGAACACAGAAGACAACCAGTGGAGTGAAAGTGAACCTGGATAAGAAACGATGGTTGATACCGGCTGCTTATCTTTACACTCTTCAGAACTTTGCAGGTTACCTTGATCCCCTGGAGGAAGGCAGGATCTTGGCCTTGGTGGAGCTTATGCAATTAGAGAAAGGGACAGGTGCTGGGACCCTGTTCCAAAACTCCAAAGCTGTTTGCTTTCTTAAAATAGCCAGCCCCACTGGTTCCTGCTTCTTTCCCAAAGATCCTAACATGCATTTTCTCTGCTGCATCCTCAGCTTTCCGGGGGAGTGTGGTAATTCATTTGGATAAGAGCTTAAAGGGGGGGGGGCAGAAACCCAAGGACCCCCCCCCCCCAAAAGGCCCCGGACCGCCTTGCTTT